TGGGAGCAGTTGTAAATTGAGCAGATTGTTTGCTGCTCTCGCAACCCAAAAAAAAATTGAAATACAATCAAAGAAAATGTCAAATTGGTACCTGTGAAAATGGAAATCATTTTTTTCTCCGTTTGTATTTATTTTAAAGCAGCTTAAAAGTGTTTTAAAAATTTTTTATCTACACCTTCAAAGTGTTTAAAAAATTGATTATCTACTTTTTGCTATTTTTATTTTCATATTTGTGCAAAAAATTGCTAAGTTTATCGAAGCCTAGCTTTTTCAAGTTTTAGAGACTAAATGAAGCTATTGATTTCAAAACACGATTGATATGAAAGTTACATTTTTAGTTGAAAACTGCAACTTTTTTTTATTTTGTCAAAGCTAAATTTGGAAAATTTCTGAATTTAAAAAAATTGTTGCCTGACTTATTTAAAGACACTCGGGTAGTGTTGAGTTTGCGAGAAAAATCAATCAATTATACAATGAGACTGGTTCTCGTCAAAAAACGTTTGAAGTTCTGAGTAAAAGGTTGTCAATAAAGTAGAATTATGAAGAAAAAAATTTCGAAAAGAAAGAAGAATATTGAATTTTATCACCCAAAACAAATAGTTTTTGTATTGCAAAGCGTCATTCTCCAAAAGATTTGTTTTAACAAAAGTTGTAAACAATTTGATTCAATTTTTTGCATCTGCTTGTTAGAATTAATTAGTTTGAACTAATTTCCGAGCCATATTTCAACTTATTTCAGAGACCAAAAAAATTATGATAAGCTTTTTTGATAATATGAAACTTTATATGAAAGCAATTTTCCACGTTTTGGAATTAAATAACAAGCTTCTTTGCATACTTTTATCAGAAAAACTTTATAAAAGTGGCAAAAGCATACTTTTGTACTAGGAGACTTTTTGACAAACTTCTTCCCCATACTATGGAAATCTATGATAATGATTTGTGAACCTTTGCGTTTTCTTTTTCACGGCTTTTTTTATTCTTAACTAAAACTAATTTATCAAAAGAAGTGCCAACCAATAAATGAGCTGTTCAACTACAGCAGCAACTGAGCAACTGAGCAACTGAGCAATTGAGCCACTGAGTAATTGAGCAACTGCTTGCTTGGTACCACTTGTGTCTCCAGTGAGTACAGGTCAAAATTAAACGTAATTTATGCAATCAAAAATGAATATGTTATTATAAATCAACGATTTGCGATCTTGACTAAGAGAGAGCGAGAGAGCAGATCTTCAATAACGAAATTCGAAGAAACGTTTTTAAAAAAAAACGCATATAACACTTTAAGTTTTTTAAAGCAACTGCTGATGCAAAATTTTTGGCGCCACACATTATAATTAGCACTTAAATTGTATACCCGAGTTGACGAAACATGCCTATCAAACACTTTCACAATATGAAAAAAAGCCGTGCTATTTCAATTTATCCAGAGACGAAAAAAAATTATGAAAATAGTATGATAAGATTTTTTTGATAACATGAAACTTTATATGAAAGCAATTTTTCCAAGTTTTGGAATTGAATAACAAGCTTCTTTGCATACTTTTTATCAGAAAAACTTAATAAAAGTTGCAAAAGCATACTTTTATACTAGGAGATTTTTTGGCAACCTTCTTCCTCATACTATGAAAATCTCAGATAACCATTTTTACCATAAGTAAAAATACAAAAATTTTTGTTTCAAAATTTTGTTTTCATACCAAACACACTAAAAAAAAATTTTTCTGTCATAAGAAAACCCAGAGTGTAACTGGCAGTAACCACGCAGATAAAGTTCGTTTAGGATATTAGTCATTTAAGTTGATATTAACATCTTCCCACATATTTATGTTCCAAAAACATAATTTTAGTATATGGCTAAAACAAATTTCACTAACAAAAATCGGTGATTGGGAAAAGAGGCTAAGTTTAGGTTTGTCCCAAAATATGAAAACGAAAAAAATTTGTTAACAAAAAACAGTGGTTTGTGATTTTCTGATTTTTGGGGGTTAAAAACTCAACTTAGACTACGTTATAGACAAGTTAATTCAAATTTGGCATTCAAACTTTTTTTCGTTAAAAGTATTTTCAAGCACAGAAGCAAGTTTGCAACCAAAAAGTAGATAAATGAGTTTTTACCTCAATTTTTTTTTCTATGGAAGAATGAATCTCGCACAAATTTCATAAATGAAATTGTGTGATATGCATTTTTTTTTGCTTGAAAAAAAATTTATGGAAGCCAAAGTTGCTCACAAGTAACTAAAACTTAAAAAAAAACCCTCGAAAAAAAACTTTTGATTGAAAAACAGCTTGTTATACATTGTTATTCTATGAAAAAAGTAACATAAACAGTCTTTTCATTTACTCTGTGTAGGTAATTGTATGATAGCCATTTTTCTTGTAAGGAGGTTAACGCGCCTAAAATCGGAGTTAATAGAGCAGTTAGTCACATCAGTTGAAACTGGAGTGACTTCTGATAAATATTTTGTCACCTACTCTAAAAGTACTTGGAAAATAAGCCTAATTCAATCTTTCTGTTCCGCATATCTTAAGCAAAACGAGTGTAGATTAAATATTCTTTTAAGTTTTTTTTATCTAAAAGCATCAACTTTTTTTTCAAAAATGGCCTAGAAATTCCCAAAAAAATGTTAAAAGAACCAAAATCGTTTAGATAAACGAACAACCACCAAATAGTATAGGTCAAATTTCTCAAATATTTGAGCTCTAGGTTCGAAATTGACATCCGAAAAATTTTTTACTCTTTCCAAACACTCAAACTTGTTTTTGTGGGAAAAATGTTACTTTTCCTTAAATGGTTTTTAACGGAATCTTGGTACAATCATTTTGATGCAGGGCGGTTTTGTAACCACCCTTCCATATTTTTTGATGAACTGGTTGTACAATTCACAAAAGTTAAAAAGAATTATAGCAACTTCCTGATCCCTATTGGAAAAAAGCTGTTCATTTGAAATGATGAAACTTTTCGAGTTTAAAAGTAGCACATTTTATCTGCAGAAAATATGTTTTCTTCACGGTACTGTCGTAAATAATAAGGTTCTGATTGCTGGAGTAATAAAAAGGTCTGATGAGTGTTTACTTTCTTAAAATTAAGTTTTAAGGTCTTAGATTGAGCATAATATTCAGCTGCTGTAAGTCTGCGCGCTCGCTTCTATCGCTCGAATTAGGACGAAAAACTATAAATTTTGACTGATAGGTCTTAGATTGAGCATAATATTCAGCTGCTGTAAGTCTGCTCGCTCGCTTCTATCGCTCGAATTAGGACGAAAAACTATAAATTTTGACTTATAATAACTAGACTGAAAGGGATTTAGTATGATTTTATCACTCAACCCAGCCCGATGATTATTTGTAGTACCTGATTTTGCGTGGAAAACAAAAAGAAAAAGCTAAAACATCCTTTTTTCGTCATTTAAGTTTAGCTATAATTGTATGCTTATACAACTTTCTTATCTTTATTAAATTATATACAAAGACTAAATTTTTAGTGGAATTATTTTTATGTATTTTTTCTTGGAAATTTTAATTTATTGAATAAAAAAACTGCCTATGATTCAGTTTTGTAAACAAAAACGTGAGAAGAAACTTCGCGCGTTCTAAATTTGAGTAGCAAAAAACTAACTATATTTTTAAGAAAGATCAGTTGGTCATGTTTTTCGTCAAAAAAAAATTAGCTAAAACTAAACCCGCGCTGCATCCCACGGATAAAAATTGTTTATAATGAAAAAAAATTTCGTTTTAAATTAAAAACCAAAAAATTGATTATACTTTCATTATAATCGATTATTTCCAAATAAAAGATAATCCTTTAAAATCGATTAAAATAAAAAAATGGATAATAAACCATTTAAACTACAATATAATAGTTTATAATGCATAAATAGATTATATTTTCTGTCTTTTATTGCAAAATTTTCACCATTTTCAGATAAACTCTTGGCTCACTCGAACTCTAGCCCTAATCAGACAACCTCAGACCCCCAAACTACCTCCCCAAATTACGGTTTTAAAATTTTTTTAAATCGATTATTAATTGATTAAAATCGTTTTTTTTTCTCAATTTTAGTAAAACTGCTGCTAAAATCATATCAACATCAATTATTAACGCTTGAATTTGGGTGCTGTTAGTGTCGCTACTAAAATTAAAAATTCAGTCTCAAAAGATGATTTTTTTTTCGGTTGCGCCGATCTTGGTTAATTTTTCTGAATTTCGAAAGGAGTGGCATAATAATTGTGCTCAGTATATTTTTTCTCCCGACAATTTTCGACATTTTTAACTAGCCATTTTTGACGGAGTTTTGTAAAAATCAGCTGAAAAATATTATTGCCCTGAGCTCAAATTTGAAACTTATTTTTTCTGTGATCTTTTTTTGTAAAGCTATGGGTGTTTAGACTTCGCCAATTTGGCCAATTTTGGATAAACAACGCGTGATACATTTTGTTCTATTAAATCGTCAGCCGAAATTTAATCGGTCATAAGAATTGATCCAAATTGAGTTACTGCTTATTTTTTGTCTACTTACATTGCGTGTGGGTTGATGCTTTTCGAAAAAAAAATTGTTTATTCATTGTTTTTTTTTTAATTTCAACAGATTTTAAAACTATTCCACAGATTCAAAAGAAAGTCGGAACGTTCAGGGTTTTGCCATGGTACGAGCCGTCTTGTTCTCTTTAACTTATTTCAGATTTTAAAATTTTGACCCACGCAGTTTCGTTTGCGCTAATCGAAAGATATTTTTGCAATTTAATTGTGAGAGGGGGAGGGCTTAAAACCTAGAGAGCCGTGAATTTAAATCAATGGTAGAAAAATATGAAGGCTCATTTTGTTTCACGTCATTGCTGATCAAATCTAGTTTTTGCAAATACTTGAGCAAACTCACTTTGAAAATACTTTGTGATCTGAAGATTTTATTTGCGTACCTTTACTATCAGAAACGTTCTTTTGAATACAAAACGCAAAGCTTGAGTTTAATTTTATTCTTTGATCATAATATTATTATTAGCTCAAGCCAACAAAACTCTCTTCAAATGGCCACTGAAAAAGTGCAGCAACTCAACGGAAATCCAGAGGCGTCAAAAGGGGTCGGAAAAGTTCGCATATGTGTTATTGGAGCAGGTCCTTCAGGGCTGATGACCTTGAGAGCATTGCAGAGTCTAGATGTGAACAAGTTTGAAATCATCTGTTATGAAAGGCATTCGGAAATTGGAGGCATATGGAACTTCCGGTTAGACAAATAATTAATTTTTACAATTTAAAAATTTTAAAAATTTAAATTGGATATTTGCAGATCGCCGCGACCAACATTTTTTTCAGAAGTTGCAGATCTAAGAGACCGAAATAAACCTCCGCAAACAAAAAAAAGCGATCGGCACGGCCAAAGACTAATAACTAAGATCGAAGCATCTGAATCCAAACTAGCCCTTCCAGACTGAGTTTTTGGTCGCGGCACTAACATTGATGTGACTTTGAAAGTCAGAAAACTAGTTGAGCGACCCGGTAGGGCAATTAATGTTTGATTGATTTAAAACACTTTAAACCGATCGATTGAGTAAAATCTCGCGGAGTGTTTGTGACCAATGTAACATTTCGTACCTGCAGTTTTACTTGCAATCGAAAAACTAGAGACACTTGAAAGTTTCAATAGAAACACGCACCGAATATTCATGAACAAAAACTGATTATAATGGAAAAATGTTGTCAATATAATCAATCCACTATTGTTGCAAAGTTAGAGCATAAAATCAATTTTAGTGTCATAATAATTAATTATTTCCGTAAAAACACAATCCAGTGAACTCCGTTATAATCCATTTAAAATCCGTTTGAAATGACTATAATGGATTATAATCTCTAACATTTGCAAAATTAATTGCAACACTTTTAAATTTTTTTCATTAAATTTTGGGGGTTTAAAGATCCGAGCCAGAACTTCAAGAGCAAAGAAAGCTTGCAATTGAGTAAAATGAAGTTTTAGCTGAAGACGTTATCATTTTTTGTGCGACTTAATCAGCTTTTTGTGTCAAAGTCAAAGAATAACTTATTTTCAGCAAAAAACTTGAATATTTTTTACTGATTATTCGAACTTTGTTTCTTGCTGGTCTAAAAAATCATGGGTGATAAAGATTCCAGTTATAATGAGTTTCGGTTATTTTGACCCATTAGTTTAATCATCACTGGTTGTTCAAGTTAGTCAGTAGTATTTTACTTTCTGAAATGATATTTCGGACCAAGTTAACATCGCCCCCCCCCCCCCCCCCAAATGCCTTTAGGGGGGAGGATGTTAACTTGGTTCTTAGCTCAATTTTTCAGCCAATCAGATCAAAGCATTTTGCACGCAGCGCTTAGCAAATTTAATTTAAAATAAGCGCCGGGGTGGAGGATCTTAACTTGGTCTATTAGGGGGGGGGGGGGGGGGGGGGGGGGATGTTAGCTTGATCCGATATTTCTTTAGGGCGGTCGAAGGACTTGATGAAGATGGCATGGAACCTCATTCTGCTGCTTACCATGAATTAAAAGTGAACTCGTCCAAGTGGCTTGAAGAGTGTCCCGAATTCCCCTTCGAAGAAAGAGTCGAAGATTACCCTACATGGCAAAACAACTTAGCTTATCTGAACAAATTCACAAATCACTTCGGTCTACGAGAC